GGTTTGTATCTTGTTTGTAAAGTAAGTAGTAGAAGTAGTAGTAGTAGTAGTAGTAATAGTGGTAGTTGGTAGTAGCAGTAGTAATAGTTAATTTTTTTAAAAAAAAAAGAGAATAATCAAGTGGATAAAAGAAAGAAAAAAAAATAAGAAAAAGAATATATAAAGAAAAAGACAAATCTCATCATCATGAGACATTCCAAAGAAGGGAGAAGGGTGATAAGTAGTAATAATGGTGTTAATAAAAATAATAATGATGATGATGATGATGATGATTGATTACTCAAAAAAATTATGAGCCATTCAGTCAACAAACAAACAAGCACATGTATATGTAGTGAACGTGTATATATTATTGTTATGCAATAGAAACAATCTTGACCCGTTTTCTGGATGTTTAATGTCCAATTGTACTAGTTAAGGAGCTTTAGCCATTTCCTTCTTCTTTTTATTACGAAGTGGCGTGACTGGTCGTCCTGTATTCATACCGCCATAGGGGTATCTTTGCTTCTTCTCCGCAGGTTTGAGAATCTATGAATGACAATCAGAGAAGATGTTAAAATATAATTTTAAAAATAAAATAAAAATAATTTATAAGAAAATTTTTTTAATATTTATCTATTAATTGTAATAATAGAAGAATAGGAAAAAAAGAAATTAATCAGTCATAAAAAAGGCCACCAAATAAATGTCAAGTGTCTGACCTGGAATGAACACATCAGGGTTTCATCTACACTCATCATTGCTCCAGCATTATCAAATTCTCCGCAATAATTTGGCGCAGAGAATAATGTGACTAACTGACGTTTAGCAAAAAATTCATATCCATCCTCTACGACTTGATGTGCCCGACATATCAAATCCATATCATGTTTTTGTAGGAATCGACTGACAACATCGGGTCCGAATGTGAAAGAGACGCCACGATCATTTTCATTCCACCCAGTAACGTCTTTATCGGGATCAGACCACAATAAATCGCACAAGAGACCTTTTTTTTATCGACAACGAGTTATACGTTAAGAATAAATCGTAAATAATTGAGAAAAAAGATTAACAACTATTTTATACCTGTATCGGGAACATCGGTTGGTCGCATTACTTTTCGGATTTGTTCCATACTCTGAAGATCCGGTGATAGTCCTCCGTGCATAGTAAAGATTTTTTCATCAATGATAGCGGCGATGGGAAGACAATTGAAGCAATCCGTGAAGGTTTTCCACAATTTGATGTTATATCTTCGTTTACCTGAGTGACATTAAATAGAACGCATTTTCCTCTAAATAAGTATCCTTGTAGGATGGATGATATATCTTAAAAATTAATCCAAAAAAACCCCCCCCAACTTACATTCGTCGTAAAAACCATAAATACGGTTAATACTTGCACATTCATGATTTCCACGTAAAATAAAAAAATTTTCAGGGTATTTAATTTTATAAGCCAACAAAAGACAAATTGTTTCCAAGGATTGCTTTCCCCTGTCAACATAATCACCAAGAAAAAGATAATTTGCTTCCGGTGGAAATCCACCATACTCAAATAGTCTTAAAAGATCGTAATATTGACCATGTATATCACCTACATATTAACATCGGTCGTGCAAAGAGAAATCGAGTTAGTTCAACATTTAAATACGGATACATGCAAAAATTTTCCTGACCAAACAAATTAACGAAACGAAACGAAACAATAAAAAAAAATAATAATAATAATAATCATCTTGGATTATTTAAAACCTCACCACATATTTTTATCGGCGCCTCTAACTCTAGTAAAATTGGTTGCGAAATAAAAATTTCCCTGGCTCTTGTGCACAGGAATTTTATTTCGTATTCTGCGAGTTGGACTTGCTTGCCTGGTCGACAACCTCGTACTATGCAGATGTGTGGTGGGGGTTTTCATTAAGTATTGGAAGGTGTGAAGAACTTAAACGGAACGAATACAAAGTGAAGAGATCGTCGAGCTAGAAGAGTTGTTTTTCCTTCCTGCGATTGCATGAATTTAACTATCCCTTTTTTTTGACTTTGCTTCGATTTGGAAGCTAAATAAAGTCAAGCAAACAAGGAAAGGAATCAATTCAATTCTGTACCTTCCAGTAATCGCTCAATAACCGAGTCAATGTCTATATCAGCTACATCAGCCATTATTATATATGTTTTGCTGACTCTTGGATTTGAAAGGCGCAAGAGTCGGATAAGAAAAGAAGAATTTAGGCAGTAGCGGGTAGAGAAGCGTGACAGAGAGCGTAAGAAAGTGTGTTGTTTAGAGGTTCGGAGACGATGGATAAAAGTTGGCTAGAGTTGGATGAATAAAGCAAAAAGGAGATTATTTCTATGATAGCGAGGATAGGGCGTGAAGGGTCGATTAGCCAAAAACAGTTTGAGTTACCTATGCAACACCACCCGACAGAAAATAGTAATGATATAGTAATAGCTGGTGGGTAGTTACTGGTGGACAGGCATGCAAAATGTGTCACCCCTCAAAAGTTTCAATTATTATTATTATTTTTTTTTTCTCTACAGTGTGTATTTATTTATTTTTATCTAATGCTACTACTACTACTATTATTATTATTATTATTATTATTAATTATTTTTTTATTATTATTATTATTATTTAGTTGCTCTTTAATACTGTTGCCATTTTTACTATTGTAACTATTGTAATATAGATCTCGTGCAGATCAAAAGATAAACAAAAAATTGATACACGATAATCAGATTCAGCGCATTGGCGCATTGAATTTTCCATTATGCGATTTTTCACATTCAAATTGACGCGTCAGATATGTTTAAAAATAACGAACAACTTATATTTCATTCATTGATGAGGTTAATAATAAATTCTGGCTATTTGTTTTTGCTAACCCAATAGGATGTCTCTATCTTTTTTAGTGTTAAAAAGATGCTATACTATCGATTTTGCACAGCCATACTATTAGATTGGAATAGTTCTTGATCACATGAACTTGTGTGACCTATAAAGGATCCAGATTGGTGTATATTATTGTTTTGGAAATATGTGATATTTTGACTGAAGCATCCTCATATCGATATGCAATGTTAATTTCCGCTATGAGGATTCTTTACAAAATGTCCAAACCTGGTTCAGAGCAGGTTAAATTAGTAAGCTGTTCATTTACCTTGATACATTAAAAAGATTTGTTATGCAGTTTATTTTCTGAAGGCTTAGTTCATTAATTGTGGAGGATATAAAAGAATATATTTGATGATTTTATCACTTTCCACTATTTAATTTTGGTCAGATTGATCTACGGATCTGCAAAAATTTCAACATGATCTGATTTTCATCTTTGCGAAAAATTTTAAAAAAAGGTCACAATTTCTTGATTTAAACAGAATTTTGCTTACGCCAGCGAGTTTAACCAACTTTGCTGGCAGGGATCGTCACTTTATCCCAGCTTGCTGAATATGAATTTATGAAGTTGTGCTTCTTTAAATTGAACATTTTACTTTTTGATAAATCAATATTGTGCATATAATATCGATCCAAATACAATTTAAAACAATGAATATGCGATAATGAATATAACTATGATATTGATATAAATTAAACAATAAATATGAATAATGAAATGAATGAACGAACGAATGAACAAATGAATGAATGATGTATCAATGAATAACTATATTAAAAAGACAAACAAAAATTTACAACTCTAATCTGTACAAAAAGTATATATGAAAAATAAATATAAAAACTCTATTTTTGAGTGTATGTATTTATAAATGTATTTAAATGTGTATATATGTATGGGGAATGTAAAGTTGACAGTGATACAAATATATAATAATAATGATGATAATAATAATAATAATAATAATGAGAGGTAAGTGCGAGTGCACGTGTATGTGTATGATGTATCTTATAATACAGAGTGGTTGAGATGAACAAGTGGAAATGTAGACAAAAATTGAATGAACTTGGAAAGAAAACAGGATGAAAGGTAAATGAGGATTATTAACAGATAATAATTTAAATTTTTTTTAAAGAAAAAGTTCTGTTTTATATTGGTTAAGAAAATAACTTATTTACGAAAAAAACCAAATGTCCATCAATTTTTTGAAAAGGTAAGGAGAGAGAAGAGAAAGGGAATGGAAAGGGAATGGAAATGGAATGTTCGATTTTTAATTTAATTGAAATGTGTTTTATTTATCAAGGATCAAAAGTGAGAAATTATGATGTGAGTGTCTTCCATCTCGTGGTGCTCCAAGGAACAATCAATTCTTTTTGTTCTGCTAATTGTTGATTATGCCGTCGTTGAAAAATGTCACTTTGGAATCCCGCCAAACTTTTTTTTTCCATAAAATAGCAATGTACATCAACAGCATTAATATCAACAACAGTCTTCCTCCTCGTTAGTAAGATCGAGAATTATATTTTACAATCCATTCGATGTCAAGCGAATAGCATCCAGAGAATTTTTTTTTAAGATCCTGGCCAAAAGCATCTCGCCTCGACAATCGACATTAATATTTTCCAACAATTGTTGCTACTGAATTATACAACATATATCTTCTTTATTTTCTTTCATAGGATTATTATTAGGGCTCGGTGCCAATGAAGCAGATCGCCGTCTTCGACGCCGCCCAATTGAAGAGAGTATATTAGTAGTCAGTAATGGTGAACATCGGTCTACTGCATTTCTCGTGTGACCTCCAATTGATCCTAACGTCAATGGAATATCTGAACCGCCGTCACGCATCACTGATTTAAAGTCTTCTGAAGGAACATCTGATCCTGGTCCATCAGGTAAGGAAGGGATTGGTCGAAGATATGATGTAGCAGATGATTGTCGGTGAAGAGTATGAGCTTCAGGTATTGATGAGATTATCGGTAGATTCTGTTGACGATCAGAAGGAGCTATATAATAAAGCACATATGATTATGATTATTTAAGTTCACAATTTAAATTGAAATGAATCCGGTATTACAAAAAAGTTAAAAAGATCTACCCACCAATATTATGCATATTATATTCGTTGCCAGATTTTTTAGCGTGCCAATGCTTTCTATTCGATTCGAGATGGCCTAAACAAAAATTCATCTCGGGTATCAACTCTTGAGAACTCTGAAATAATGGCATGGCAACCTGTTCAATGAATTCGATTTGTATGTCCGGTTGAGAAATATCTCGGCCATTAATTGGTCCGACCGGTAATCTCAATTTTTTCTCCAGATCTCCTTGACACCAAAATTCTTCTAACAACACTTTTGTCCAACTGGCGGCAATGTCATATGGTCGCGCGGTATTACTTATATCAGCGCACTTGATCAGCGCCTCGATAATGGTGAGACGCTCTTTGTCAAGCTCGGCTGATGATGGATTCAAATTTTGTTCGAGATTTTTTGTTGTCTCCTTCATCTTGGCGACGTATTCGTGATGCAGAGACATGTCAGTGGCTAGAATTGCGTGGACTACTATCTTTCGAAATTCTGTTTTAAACAATATTGCGTGAATTTGTTAATGATAACGTTGCAATTAATCCATTTGATCTTTCGCGTAAAGGAACATTTTTTAAATACCAGAATAATCCACCCCGCATATTGGTCCATAAATAAATCCGTGCTTTTGCATTATCTGGAACAATGCCATCGCATGAAAACTCTCCAACACCGATCGATCATTGTATAATTGAGCTAGTGGAGTTTTTGAATTTATCTGTCAAAATAAAAATATATCAATTTTAGCTAGTATCTAACTAAATTTACTCATCCTAAGTTATGATGGCTCATTTCACACAACTCACCAAAAAACTATTATTCACACCCGGATGCCCAATATCATGCCCAATGGACGCCAATAATAGCGCAAACAAATCAATAGGTCTCAGCAAATCATTTGCACGTCGTCGATTCGGGTTTATCCTTGTCCGAACATTTTCGGGAAAAAACGGCGGTAATAACTCCATTTGCATTAGGAAGTAAAACATTGCCTGTAAAACATCAACGGCGTGACGAAAGTTGTGATAAGGATTACTATCATAATAAGATTTTCGAATTGCTAAGAGAAATTCACGCAGTCGATCTTTTTATTTGATGTTTGATTTAACAAGTGATAGAAAATGAGTTTCATTATGTTTTGATGATTAATCATAATATAAATTGATCGTGAGATATCAATTGCCAAAACATCACATTGATTTTTCTTACCCATTGATATGTTCAGTGCGGCCAATTCTTCCAATTTCATCACGTGTTCGAAAATAATCACGACACAACTCATCAAATCTTCATCCGATAAATCACTTGGCTGAAAATCCCACTTGGTTAATCGTTTTTTCAGTCGTTCCAGTGTTTCAGCAGAATACAAACTAAACATCGAGAATTACAAAAAAGAATTAGATTGGATTTATTTCATGCACTAACAGAGTAATAAGGTTTAGCTTACCTTGGAGTATACGAAAGTTTATATGATGATTCTGGCGGCGTATAATATTCCACAATAGTTTCTGCTAACCTGTTGAAATTGTTTACATGTTGGTTAATATAAGAAATAACATCTTTTATATATATGTATATAGCAACTCTAATTACCATTTATCTCTTACAAACACGTCATGGATCCTTTCTTCGAAAGGATCTGTTCTATTTCGAGATATTGTTCGTGTATCTTCAATAGATGATGTTATCGAAGAAGGCGAGCTTTGTGGTCTACTCTCTGATGAAGACGTTCTATATAAATTCTATGAGACATTTTGATAATGAGCTTCATGCTTGCGGTAGAAAGCAATCTCCTAAAACAAAAAACCGAATTTACCAAGAACATTGTTTTGGCCACTTGCGATCTAATCGGTTTTATCAGGTAATCAGAAGCACCCATAGTCATGCATTCCACCATAAAGTCCGAAGAATCATTCTTTGAAAAAACTGAATTATTTATGAGACGGATCGATTTAAAATGAATTATTGCCGAATAAACAATAAATAAACAAATAGGTATGTAGATAAATGTAAACCATTCGCTTACTAATTGGCACAACTTGTTCCAATGAGCCATTCCGCTTTTCTTGATGGACATGTCTTAATAAATCCAATCCGTATAAGGGATCACTTTCATCAGTAATGCTGAAGGTTGACATTGATACACCTTCGATGGCAACAAAAGATTCTCTTCGTCCTATTGATCGATTTATATCTTTGTTATCAATGTCAATCAGTAAAATCGTTGGATATCCTATTTGTTGTCGATTATTTAGTGTTTCCATTGCTAATTTACCGGATGACACAGTTATCACTATAAAAGAACCAAATATTATTCAAGTTGTCAGATTCATATTAACCCGTCCCCCCCCCCCCCAAATTCGAATCATACCTTCTGCAAAATTTTCCAGTAATATATTTACAAGATCTTCTGCATTCTTTTTTGCCACTTCATCCTCTATTTTTGTATGGGTTGTATTGCTATTATTGTTATTGTCCGTTTTTATGATGTTATCACTTATTCCATAAGCTGACAGTGTATGTGAACTATTGTTTGTATTTGATGCTTTAGTCGTCTGTGAGCTATAAGTTTTTTCTTGACAGACACGATCTACCACGAGAACAGACCACCGACTTGGTTCCATGTATAACGGTGATAACACGGAATCTGTCGGTGTTAAAGGGGCCAAGTTAGGAGCCAGTTTATATTAGGAAAGGAAAATATAGATCCCTCGTTTTAGGTAGTCAATTCGTTAAGTTGTGAATGAAAGAACTTTAGCCTTTATAAGAAATGCGGCGGGGAAAAAGAGTATTATTTCGTAACGTATGTGAGAAATAGGGTGGAATAAATGACTATAAGTTGAAAGGTTAAACCCAATAGAATGAAAAGAAGGTATTTTGAGGTAATTGTGGGAGAATTGGAATGTCGAAAAGTGTAACGTCTTCCACTCTAATGAGACGAGTGAATACAAATTCTATTTGCTAATATCGTTGTCTTCTTTCCAAAGTCAAATCAAATCAAATTATTAAGTTGTATACTGAGAAAAAAAGATGGTTCATGTATTTCGGGTATGTATGCAAAGGTAAGAGTGGGTTTCGTCGTCGTTATGTGTTGTATTTGCGCGTGTCGTTTTTGGAGGTTGAGGAGGAATGATTTTTTAGAGGTGTTTTCGGGAGAGGTGAAAGAAAAAAGGTTTGCTCAATTTTTTTCTATAAAATTTTTGTTCCCAAACAACACGGCAAATTGGAATAGTCGAATAATGTAAATCTAATAATAATTATAATATTTATTAAAATTATGTATTTGAATATCAAGATGCGGTAATGTGCATATTAATTATTTTATGAATACAAAATATGTACGTATACAGGTACTTTTGAGTATATATTATATATATATATCGTAATTTGTGAGACAAAGGCACAATTTTTTTATGTGATGTAAGATGCATTATTTTCTATGGTGATTGATTATAAGTGACGGAAATTTGATGAAATAAACCGTACCAGTTATTATTTTTGTCCGAATAAATTCCGGTTGAATTAATTAATATACAAAGGTCCATTAAAAACAAAAAAAAAGATTGATTTTAACGATCGTTATATGAAGTTATATGATTAGACGGTTAACGTGGCCGTATTTATGTTTACGTGGTGTAGCGTGGCTTTAAAACGTGGCATCTTTAATTATGATTAATCGTCCATCCATTCTATTTGTACTTGAGAATAAAAAAAAAGGTACCTTATTGGTTATCGCTTTAGCCTTTCTTGATCCCCTTCGCCCATAATTGTAATACATTGTGACAGAAATTAACCCTTCAAAAAAAAGACGCACGAATCTTTTTGGAATAGTGGCAACGGTCAAATGTGTTACACTTGAGGGGTAGATCATCATCATCATCATCAAGAGGCTAAAAATAAATGAAATTTCCTTTTTTGGTAAACTCGTTTTTTTCACCATTACAAAAACGTAATTGTTCAAAACGTGAATTTAATAATGCATGAACATGCACAAGCCCTTTGATGTGTAATAATTGATACTATTTGGTGCAATTTCAAAATTCATATTATGAGACGAATGAATGAATGACAAGGGCACAAATATTGTGATGTTAGCGTGTTGCACCATAATACGGTAGGACGATACGCGAATTAATAAACTAAAAATTAATTAATTAAATTAAATTAAATCACTGTGTTATCAAGTGTCATTAATCGAATTTTCATAACTTTGTCAAATTCATCCTTTATTTGTAATACTACTTATCCACAAGCATATAATCCCCTCGTAATAATAATAATAATAATAATAATAATAATAATATCGATATAACTTTAATTTGTTCGTTTCTAGAGTAACGAAATAATTAGCAAAATTTCTTATCAGATTTTTTCAAAGAGAAATATTTAAAACATAAAGTTTCTTTAACCAAAAAAATATATGCACAATACGGAGTAAAAGTCTAATTAGGGAACTTTTCCGGTATTACATGTACAATGTGAATAATATGATGATAACTACGATGGTAACAAGATATGAGAAATTGTGTTTTTTAATACAAATGACGGTACATTTATCTTTATGTATTTTACCTATTTGAAATAAGCAATCAATTAATCAATAGTTTTGTGAGTAACCTCGCACGGGAGGACAGTGATTAAGAACGGGTGCTTGGAAGTAACATAGCCAAGAAGAAAAGGTTTTTTTGTCCAGATATTCTTACAAAATATAAAGATATAGATTTCCACATGGAATTTTCCACCGAATATACCCTGACAATCCCAATTTACCCCGCGAAAAATTTTTCAAATTTGGGGAAACTATCTTTAATTTCCCACACATTCTTGTTCAAGGATGGTGGAAAAAGCTTGGAACAAGAATAATACGATAATGCAACATCTCACAAAAGAAAATACTCGACGCACAAATTATAAACTCAATACGCCAAATTTATTAATAATCATGATTTATTAATTATTTTAAATCTAGAAAACAAAGAAATGAGTACGTATTTTTTTTTTTTTAATAGAACATGAGCTAAGCGCGGAAATCATACAGGTCAAGGAGAAAACAGGTACACGACGAAATATTTGTGCCGATCTGCAGAATCTTTACATCGAAAAAACATGAACACTTCAAGAAACCTTCTTCTTATTAAATTTATCTTACCTTTTCAAAAGTCAACAATAACTTTTAATTTTAATAAGAGTTACCAGGTTTCAGCTTGTTTAACTTGCTTTTTGAAAAAAGGATACTAGAGACGCAGCTCATAAATTATAAATATTATAATTAAAAATTTAGGATTACAAATTATCAAACTACGCATTTAAGCATTTTGAATGTATGTCATATTTTTGGAGTCACAAATGGATTTTTTTGACAATATAAATTGAATTGAAAACTAGTTAGTCTTTGTTTTATTATCCAAAAAGTCGGAATTTCTTCAATTCATTATGATTAAAGTGATTTTTTGTGATTAGCAATATTATAAGTTGAAATTTAAAGAGGATAAAGTAAGTGTATATCTGCAAAGTCAACATCGATCCATCAATATTATTTTGAATTCATTTGTAAATTAGTATTTTTTACATTGTTTATTAATTCTATTGAGTATATAAATTTAATTAATTCAGATTATAAACTTCTTAAATATGTAAAATCTAATGTTATATTATATTTTTCATTATAGATTAGATTTAGATTTGTTTTATACTTAAAGAAACTAGTTGAGTTGATAAATCAAATTTAAATATGCGTATTATATTCTTAAAATAATTATAACATATAATGATATATTAATTTGATATAGTTAAATCAAATATTATATTTATCTAATTTGATTTCTCAAGAATGGTGATTATAAATGAGTGTATTTGATTAAAAAAATACATTTTTGAAGTAATTATGACAGTCAGATCTTTCTAAATGCACCCTCCCTAATGCACGCACTATTTTGACCCTCTATTATTGCACGCTCTCAAGTATATAAGACATTAAGCATTTACCCTCCGTAAATGCAATTTTCTCTAAATGCACACTTTTTCTATGTTTCCCAACGACGTGGATTTGGAGTTCTGATTTCTAATTTCTACATAATTATCTATTTTATGATTTTGTTTTGATCTAACCAAAATTACTTTTTTCCGATTCATTTTGATTAGTAATAGTTGTACTTTTTATTAAAGGAATCATGGTTAAAGCGTATCCTTCTTGAAATAGTGAAGGGGAAAACCAACGAAATAAGCACATATTTGTTTTAATTATAGCACATAATACATTGTTTAATTCCGTTTATCACGAGTGACAAAGATATTGATTGCACCACAGAAAAAGAGTGGTGCAAAAGTTATATTAAATAACGGAAAATCCAATTATTGAAACCTATGAGTCTTAATGCTTCTGATTTTTTCGGGTGGAAACGTACTTTATCGTCATTACGTATGTTTTCATCTTTTGATCTAGTTTCTTCTACTGCAATGGGGTTTTTGTGATGACATAACCAGAATTTCTTTGCACGAGAACAAAGAAAAAGGTCACACCATGATTTCACCACATGTATTCAATTCGTCCACTTGAAATACATCTATCCGGGTATTGTATTGTATGTATTGTATGCAATGCAATGCTATGCTATGTGATTTTGATGTAATTCAAATGTAATTTGGAATACAAAAACTTTGTTGTAGAGATGGATGATATCTCATTGAGGTTGTGACTTGTGTTTTTTTTTTTTTGACTCATTTGATTCGTCTATAAAGTTTATACGCCAACAAGTGATAGATGGAATGATTAATAAATTATCGCATTAAAAAAAGGAGTACGAATGGATTGAGTAAATCGATAATACACGTGACTTTATGATTGGAGAATTTGTTCGAACTTTCGTTCTTACTATTAAAAAAAAATCTTATTTAACTCTCACAACTCGGAAGATGTGAAATAATTTCGCGATGAAATGCGCTTTATATTGTGTCAAAAAATGGACTTGTCAATAGTATTACTAGCATTGTTGCATTATAGTTTGTTCGTTCCGGATTTTTATTGTCAAGTCAACAAGAATACGCTAAATGAATTAATTTTTCAGTTATGATTTGAGCTTAATGCTCGAAATGGAACTATTATTGTTAACACTTTATAGCGATAAGAAAACCAAGATAGTCAGTCAGTCCTGTAAATAGAAATGTTTCTTGTTTTTATAATATTAAGTCGTAGTCAAAAACGATTTATGAAAATTTGTCTTCGAAGAGTTATTTTATTAAAAAAAATCATTATTTTTTCACTCTTGCTGATGTGTGTAATTTAAACTGTGGTCTGTCGAGTTACACTAAAATTCGAAAAAGGGTAAAGTGATGACGTCACCATCTATTTTAGGTTTATCCAAAGCAGGGGGACAGGCCCATTTGTTGTTTACTTGGAAGAAACTCTAGTTTCGTCTTTAAGCCTTCCCCATTCATCAATCCAATCTTTTCTTGTTATTTATAACCATTTTTAAAGAAATCAATAGATCTAGCTCGTGAGGTACTACTTAGTTTGCTGACGACTTTTTCTCGAGACGCGTTATCTGAAGATTTTTCTTTATATGGTGTTGTTGTCTGCTTTTCTCGATCATCGATTCTGTTTTTGAATAAATCACTTGTGAAACAAAAGCCACCGACATGTCTGCAAGTTTGTTTTTGGAGACTTTGAGAAGAGCCGATCTCGAAACGTACTATCCAAAGTATGTTTTTTATTGGTCAACTTATAGATTTCAGCTGCGTAGAGTTTGCCGCTAGAAATAAGACGCGTTAATTTTTCCACGAAACCTTGGTTCAAACTGTTAGTTTTTCCACAGCCGGTATAAACGATTTGAGGGGTCTGGCTTCGGTATGCTAAACGAACTTTTCTCGAATCAATCGAGTTTTTCAACCTTCCAATAAAAAGATTCATCAATTACAGTTCAATTTTTCTTTCAATTCAGCTTTCTTTTCAAGATTATTCGATCCTCGGTGTGACAGCTACAGAAGATCGAAAACGTCTCTTTCAACTGATTCAGACGATCAAAAGTGAATATCCGCAACTAAATGAAACTCCTAATGTGTATGGAATCGCACCGAGACCTGATTTTACGTTTCCCCCACGAAATCAGGGAACTCCAGCATCGCTAAATCTTCAAGAACAAAATATCCAAGATCCACCTTTGGGGCCAAGACGGGTTTTGCAAGGACAAGGTCGAGGTCGTTCCACCATGCACGCCTTGGCGACATCTAACCGTTCTCGAATACCATCTCCACATATAACTAATCACAGACAACTAATTCAGAGACCCGCTGTAATGCAGCAACTACAAAATGAAGCCTTCGATGATGGAGAGGAAGAAGAAATAATGGTCAATTCTTCTCCTGGCAGAAGGCTTAATGCTTACGGCGTCCCATCCAGACATCAATCAAGAAATAATTCATACTCTGGCCCAAAGAGTAATGCCCCGAGCAACTTGAATGATAAGATTAGAGTTTGTGTACGTAAACGTCCTCTAAATCAGAAAGAACTCGCAGGTAGTCAAAAAGATATCGCAACTGTGGCTGGATCTAGAACAATCCATATTAATGAACCAAAGTAAGTAGCCAAAAAGATGTTCGCCTGCTGACTGGGCTTATTAACATGTATTGATAATTTAAATATTTAACTATTTACAGGCAAAAGGTGGATTTAACTAAATATGTGGAGCAACATTCGTTCATATTTGATGATGTGTTTGATTCAGATGCTAATAATGAACAAGTAATGTCTCGTTATTGTCCGATTGAAAAGAAATCCAAAGAATTAGGTTGTTAAATTTTTTTGGTCTGATAGGTATATCAAAGGACAGCATTACCGTTGGTCGAGTACATTTTCCGTGGAGGAAAAGCCACATGTTTTGCATAGTATCCTTTTCACATTACAAATTGATTTCTCTCGCAATGATAATTTATTCTTTTTGAAAGAGATCATTCCTTCACTTGATTTTTTTGTACTAATTTCTCTGAAATAGTGGCCAAACAGGTAATTATCATTGTATTTTTGAATTTCGTAACAAAGAATTGGGCTTTTTAAGATTTTCGAATTTTATCTATTAGGGAGTGGAAAGACATACACAATGCTTGACGGAACTCATGGTATTTGTCTTCCTCATTGCGAATCTTATTTATCATTAATTTCGTTTTTTATTTGTTATTTATTAAATTTTCCTGGAATATAGGTCTCTACGTCTTAGCTGCCCGTGATATATTCGCGTTATTGCAGCAACCAGATTGGAGTCATCTCTCTGCTTATATAGGCTTTTATGAAATCTACCAAGGCCATTTATATGACCTTCTTAACAAACGAAAAAAGTTGTTTGCAAGAGAAGACGGCAAAAAAAATGTTGTGATTGCAGGTTTGCAGGAGTATGCAATTGATAACGTGGAAAGTTTGATGCAAGTCTTTGATTATGGCAACACAATACGAAGCACAGGTAAAATTTAGATTCTGGCATCGAACATTTATCGAATCATTACACACAGTTTCACATACTATCTAATATTTGAACAGGTAGCACTGGCGCAAATGAAGATTCTTCGCGTTCACATGCTATATTACAAGTGGTCTTGAAACATAAGAAAAACAAAAAGAAGTTTCACGGTGGGAATTTTTTCGCTCTTTTGAAAATTTATTTGGTATTATTCTTAAATTAAATCCCTAAATCTTTAAATATAGGGAAGCTAAATTTCATAGATTTGGCTGGTAGTGAACGTGGAGCGGATAGAGGTGATGCAGACCAAAAAACAAGGTATATCGGTTTTCGGTAGACACATTGCATGGTTATTATTTTTTTTTGTCTAAAAATAACACAAATTTGTTCGTAAAATTTTAGAATGGAAGGAGCCGAAATCAATAAAAGTTTGTTAGCTTTGAAAGAATGTATTAGAGCTTTAGATCAAGACAAAAGACATGCGCCATTTCGTCAAAGTAAATTAACTCAGGTCTGTAAATAGATTAACACAAAAAGTATCATTGTATCGATAACATATTGATAAATCTTAAATTTTTTTTACAGGTGTTGAAAGATTCTTTTGTTGGTAATTCAAGGACCTGTATGATTGCAACCATTTCTCCAAATCAATCAAATAGTGAGCATACTCTTAACACGTTGAGATATGCTGACAGGTAATTATTAATCCTTGAATATCCGTATCAGATTTACATGATTTGAACTTTATCTTTTAAAAAAATCAGGGTTAAGGAACTTAAGGCTGAGCGAGATCGTGCTGAAGGAGCTGCCGCGGGCTCTGAAGCAACACAAGATCCATCTGGATTAAATGAAGAACTTCGAATAGATTACAATAGTGAAGATTTACCGGGATATGAAGGATATGATGATGAAGAGGAAGAGTATGGAAATTACGAAGAAGGAGATGATGAAGATTCAGAATATGAAATTCAAAGTGAAGATGAAATTAATGGTTTAGATGATTTAGGAGATATAGTGGACGATGAACTTCTTGATATCGAATTTGAAAATGAACAAGATGGATTGGAACCATATTTCACAAAATTAGATATTCGCGATCCAGAAAATGATTATTTTCCCTCTTCCCATAGTAGAACCACGTCACATGCTGAACCCAGGTCAACAGAATCAGCTCAATCCCGTGAAAAGAAATCATCTCTGAAATTTACTACAAAGGAGATGGACGATTTCGTAAAAAAACACCGTCATTCACTTCGTGACCTAAGCGACTCTGCCAAAAAAGAAACAAAACTTTTAGCTGATTTTTCTCTTGTCTTCAATGGCAATAATGACATGGGTGGTGCCCCCGAAGATTCTGTGAAAGCTTTTGAGGATTATTATGAGAAATTACAAGACCTTTTAGGGAAAAAATTCGAAGTTATTCAAGAATTACTTCGTACTATCAATCAATTTTCCCAACGATGATACATCCACAAATTAACTCCATCTATCTATTTCATTTAATTAATTAGTATATAGCCATTCTTTTGTTATCCTGGTTTCAACCGGCCAACAGTAAAATTTATTTGAACAATCTAGACAAGTTTTATAATTATTTAATTTATCTATTCAGCCAATCCCTTATTCTTAATTTATATATGGAAGTGTGCCATCTTCCATCCCCTTTAGTTTTTGAATAATATCTTTGGAATTAAAGCGGACATTAAAGGCTGAATCTGTGATTACATTGAACTACTTGCTTACTTATTCCCCTTTGTATTATCTTCGATCTCTGTTGGATTCATTCTTATACTCTTTAAGCATGGCGTAACCAGAGAATCGAGCTTTGGCACCTGAATTATATTGATTAAAGATAAGCCGCGTAAGTCTCAAAGCTCGATCGATATCACCCCAATTCTTTCATCATCGTGGATTCTCTATTATTCGATGGAGTTAATAAAGAAACAAAGTAATGATCTCGAATGATGGACATTTTATATATAATGCAAATGAGTATTTTCTTATTCCCCATTTTTATTTTTTTTTATTTTATATTCTTGGAGTAATTAATATTTGGGAATGTTGATTGATAACAAATGGTATGTGACTGGGTTATAATAGTGCGGATGTCAAAAAGTAGATTCAATTTATGTATTTTCTGGGGATTGGGTTTTGATCAATATAACTGTTAATAATGCAAAAGATCAACTACTCTAGACAACAGTGAGTAGTGGATAGATGGTATTTTTAGTTTATCGACATATAATTATATATTAAAGCTGAAGCACCGAAATTCTTTTTATCAATGTAAAATAGAAATAATAAAGAATTTTAAATGATTTTTTTATTTTGTGAAAGCTTGTCTGCTATGATGAATTTTTGTACGATCTGGAAATTTTCAGATCCTTATAATCACCAAGCTGAAACTGCTAACAATTATAATAATAAAAATTTTATATATAAAAATTAAAATTTTAATTTTTGTGTTTTTAATAAATAAAAATAAAGTAACTGATAATTTTTATATTGAATTATTATTAAAATGATTAAAATTTATTAATTTTTTTATTAAGAAAAAGCTCTGAAAAAAATTTTATATATTAATACTTGTAAAATGATTATTTTTATTGTTTTATTTAAAAAAAATAATAATAATTATATTTAATTTTAAAATTAAACTAAATTTATTATAAAATTTTAATTAATAAAACTATATTTTAAGAATTCTTTTTAATATTATTATTTATTAAAAAAAATAAATATAAAAAATTATTTCTAAATATAAATAAAAGTAAATAAATAGAATAGAAAAATTGAAATTTTTCTTTATATAATCTGATACAAAAAGATTAGTACATTAAATAAATATTAATAAATTATTTTTCAAAATAAAATTTTAATTCTGTCTTATTTAATTAAGTTATTAAATATTAAAATTTATATAAATATAAAAATTTTTATTACAGTGGCAATCAAAAATAATGCAACGCTTAAATTTTTTACTAATTATAATTAGTAAAAAATTTAAGCGTTGCATTATTTTTGATTGTCACTGTATATTTTTAAGATTATTCTAATTATAAAATTATTACAAAAATTTTTATTAATTAAATTTTATTTTTAATTAGAAAAAAATTTTGTAATAATTTTGTAATTAAAATAATTCTTTTAAAAAAAATCTAAAAAATATATATTATATTATAAATTATAAAATTTAATTAAATATAAAAATAAAAAATAATTATTAATAAAATTATAAAGTTTAATATAAAGAAAAAATTTTGACTTTTATTATATTTTATTAATAAATTTAATTTCTAATATATTATTATTATTATATATATTAATTTTTAATTTAATTAATTCATTTCTTAAAAATTATATTAATAAAAATCTTATAAAGTATATAAATTTTATAATAATTTCATAAATATATTAATAAAGATTTAATATATAATAAATTTTAAGTATAATTAAAATTATATAAAAATATTTATTATAAAATCAAATTATATCTTCTTCAATATACAATACTAATATAAAATACTAATATATAAAGTAAAATAATGATTATATATTTAATAAAGAAATAGTTACTAAAAGATAACATATTTAGTAATAAAAAACTGAAATGCTTGACAGATTAAGATTTACTAAAATACAAAATTAGAAACCTAACCAGCTTCGACTCTATTTTTTACTATAATCTCATATAAAATTATAAATATATAAAAATATCTATTGAAAATTTTTTAAAAAAATTTTAATTCTAATTTTATTATTTGAATATAATTATATAATATTTAAAAATATTATTTTATATAAAAAACATATAATTAGTAATAATTTTTTTAAATTCTCATTTTAATATTTCTTAAATGTAATATATAATAATTTTTTACAAATTTATATGATAAATATTTGTATTTTTGTTTAATTACTAATCTAATTTTGCTAAAAGTTGAATTATATATTTGTAATATATTGCATAATATAAATTTACAAATTAAAAATTTATAATGATAATATTTTTAATTTTTAAAAATCACAAACTTTAAAATAATATAAAAAGCTATATTAAGATACTTTATTTAATATAAAAAATTATAAATATTAGTTATATTTTATATAATTTTATTAAAAATAATTCTAATAATTGGATGAAACAATTATAAAAATAATAAAGATACACGAATGTGAATGTGTATTTAAAACTCTTATAATTTGTCATCACTAGATTTCAGGCCGTGATCTAATATATATTGTATCTACTATTTTGGAAATCGATATAAATCTTTGGAATTGAAGTGGTCAACCTTGATAACAATTACCTCATGGATAGTGTTTTGATAATAAAAAAAGAATAAAGCGAGTGTATACTCGTATAATAAACATGCCAGGGGATAGACTGGTTGATATGAAACTCTCAAAGATTCCCCATGAGAACAAATAGCATCCTAGAATTGAAAATAGACATGTATTCCAGAATAACAATAATGTAAGAGACGTGATCAAGTGATTAGTTGTTTAGTATTGGAAGTTTTAAATCATTCAATGTAAAACGCCTTGCAAAATTGATGCTAAGATTTGGCGATCCATAGGTGATGGGTTGGTCTAGTGCAAAAATGGTATTATAAAACAGTGGAAGCGACCAGACGCTAGGAATGAAAAATACATGTTAATTATCTATTTATATAAACGAACTGTTAGTGACATAATGATGATACCTATCACAGCCATCATTGTTACTGATCTTAAAGCCCAAGATATTGCGAATAGAGGAAACCCATCTCATAGCAGCAGGCTAAAAGACCTGTGGATGATAAAACCCAAGAGATATATCATATTCTATATGATACTTCAGCCTATCGTGAGATAGAACAGATGCAAAAGCATATGGCTGAGGGACATAATGATAGCGAAAGCTGGAATGAAAATTGGTGCATAAAATCCTAAGAGCTAACTGCTTCAGCAACCTACGGACAAAGTTCAACGACTGTATGATAGTGGATAAGCGTATAGAGACAATCAGGTCTTTGAAACTTGATTCTGAAATCTATACTATTACTTAAGATATAGTCTAAAGAGCAATGGATAATGAAAGGGAGAATAGTATTAAATATTTTTTTATAGAGAACGTTGTTATTGATGATTATGAAATCTGTGCTATTCAAATGGTCATGATAAGAATCTAGTATTAGTCCGTTCTTCTTGAATAGTGATTAAATTGCGAAAGATAGTTGTAAGTAGTTTTGCGTTGCAATTCTATGACTCTACAACTAATTATAAATCACGATTGAGATGTGCTAGTTAATAGTTTCTAAGAAAGATGATCCAATCAATCAAAAATTCCTGTTGACTTCTAGAGTCGTCTAATGCTTGCTAGGTGAATAGTGAGTAATATAGAAAAGGATTTGAAATGCAAATCTTAGAAGGGAAGAAAAGAATTTTGCGGAAACTCTTTTAGAATGTTAGTCAAGATCCTAGGAAACTAAGTGTACCAAGATGGATGGTATGTGAAAGTTATAAACTAGTCATCCTTTCGTGGGTATCGTAAAACGTGGTCTCACGTACCCGGGGTACAATACTATTTTCTGGGGGGGGGGGGGTACTATTTTAGAGGTTACACAATTTATTTTCCGTTTATTTATATTGTTAAAATACCAGGCATTATACAAAAAACCGCTCTCAAAAACCATGGGGAGTACTATTGTCCAGGGGGGGATACTTAAGACCACGTTTTACGGTATTGGCGTTTAAGTATAACTTCTATACTATGATAAAAGTATTAATGGGATGCTAAGTATAGTCAGAGTAAAGGACGTTATTGATCTAATTGTCTATGCTTAGGTCTTTTAATCGAATATAATGATTTATTATTTTTATTATAATTAGACGATTTGTTAATTTCCATCACATGATTCATGAAGAATATTCCATGTAATTCCATGTTCGATTTTTCTAGGTTCTTCTAGGTTCTTGTGATTTGTATCATGCGATTTGATTGGTTTACCAATAGATCATGTGATAGAAATTAACCAATCAGAAATTTGATGTACACAATCTGATGTACAAAGAAGAATGCATTTTAGCACACACCCAAAGAGGGATGCTTGAACAAACTTCAAAAACCGACTTTTAACCTTTCTAAATTCTTTTTTGGCAATGTCTGAAAACACATCAACTACTACAAATCCAACACCACAAAACAATCAATCCAATGTTTTCTTGCCTCAAAGTCGTGTCCGGTATTTAAATTCTTTAGACTCATTGGATATACGCGTTGCTTGATAAAAGACATTAATATTATCACTATGGTTATAGGCATGAGTGGTATCAAAATGAAAATTACGTGAATATTAGCATATTTATCAAGAATGTAAAAAAAGAAACAGTCAAGATTGACGTTAATGAACGCTTGGTATGGTAATCTTCAAGTTTTTTGTATCTGAAACCTCTATATGCTTACATATATATTCATATTTTTAGGTTTCTGTTTCAATTAAATTACCAATGGGCTCTGATTATTCCCTTGAACTTGATCCTTTAGCGCATGAAATTATTCCAAGTGAGAGCAAATATGAAGTCCTTTCTACGAAAATTGAGATCAAATTGAAAAAGGCACAACCTGGCGTGAAATGGGGTGTTCTCGAGGGAGAAGACTCTCTTGCCGGCACAATTAGTAGTGGTGATGGTGATTATTTATTTATTGATTTTATTTATCATTTAATTTATGGTTTATTTATTCTATATATTCTTACTTAATTAGCTGATTGATTAAATAATGCTAGGCAAACTGACGTATCCATCATCGTCACGAAAAGCCAAAAATTGGGATGAATTAGAGCGAGAAATCTCCAAAGAAAAAGAAAAACCAGAAGGCGAAGAAGCTTTAAATGCATTATTTCAACAAATCTATAGTAATGCAGATGATGACACAAAGAGAGCAATGTTAAAAAGTTATACCGAAAGTAGTGGCACATGTCTTAGTACAAACTGGAGCGAAGTAAAGAAGGGGAAAGTGGAAACAAAAGCGCCAGAAGGAATGGTTGCGAAAAAGGTAATGTGAAAGTTATACCATTTCAAGATCCATTGTTTTATATTTCTGTCTACTAACCTAAATTTAAATGCGTTAGTGGGGAGCATAGTTGATTATTGTTATGCTTATCAGTATCATGGTTGTTTAAATCAAAGCTAGGATTTAAATATATCGAATTTATTTATTAGATCTAGATCTTTTTGATTGCACGATAAATAAATAAGAATCGTATTTACATTAATCTCTATGTTAGTAATACTATGGATAAATTACAATAAACCACTTGGTTTTATTAAACCTTGAGCAACAGCAATCTCTGCGTTTAATATCCCACTTCCAGCTGCACCCAAAACAGTATTGTGAACCAACAATGTGAACTTTATATCCAGCACATTACAAGTTCTTACGCGTCCAACAGTCACACTGTACCCATTACCATTGTCCCTGTCTAATCTTGGTTGCGGTCGATCGTTTTCAGGATTAACGATAATTGATTTTGCCGGGGCCGAATAGCATCCGAGCTGATTTGCTATTGATTCATAATTTTCCAGAGCACGTGTAACCTGTTCCGGTGAAGGCGGAGGTTGATTCTTAAATTTGATAGAAACGCATTCCAAATGCCCGTCAATCACCGAAACACGATTACAAGTGGCAGATACACGAGTTTCTGGTAATAAATCGAATGCCGTTCCATCCGCATTAATATTCCCGAGAATTTTTAATGTTTCCCATTCCATTTTTTCCTCTTCACCCGAGATAAAAGGGACAATATTATCAAAAATATCGAGAGATGCAACCCCTGGATATCCTGCGCCTGAAATCGCTTGCATTGTCTGAACAATCACCGATTCTAATGGACCAAAAGTGTCTATAAGCGGTTTTAATGCGACTACGAGACCAGTAGTGGAACAATTTGCATTTGTAACCAAGAATCCTTTTTTTATAGAATGAAGGTGTCTTTGATGTGGGATAAGATTAAAATGGGATGCGTTTACTGTTGGTACAATAAGCGGCACAGAAGGTTCACGTCGATAATTTTTTGCATTTGAAAAAACTACAAGATCTGCTTTTAGAAAATCCATTTCTAACAAAATACCAATCAAACTGTCAATATCGACACGCATTTTTCAATCTAAATAAAAGATTACATATAATACCAATATCTCCAGCTACATCAGCATCAAGTCCAGAAAAAACGACATCACATTCTTTAAAGTATTCAGATTTACATGCTGATACTATCATATTTTTGACATTTTCTGGTATCGGGACGGTCATTTTCCATTTTGTCGTGTCCGAGTATTTTTTACCTGCAGAACGAGGTGAGGCACCTATAGCGTGCACGGTAAATTGCGGATGGTCGGATAAAAGAACGATGAAGCGTTGTCCTACTGTGCCAGTAGCTCCTAATATTCCCGCTTTGAGCTTTGCTGACATTGAGAATCAAAAGTAAAAAAAATTACTTGGATCTCTAATGACGTGTATGCTTGATGAGCATAGATGTGCCAAACTACAGAATTACATTATAATAATTTCTGATTGGCCTGAAGAACAAAATAAAGTGAAAATTACTATATCGAGAGACCGAGAGTTTACTATAGAGTCACATGCATCATAATTTTAGCCGAAAACGTTAAGCTTAGTTTTATATATTATTTTACGTCAAA